AAATTTTAGTTGGCTTCAGTATAGATCGAAATAATTCAGAAAGGTACATTATTTTATGTCGTCAAAAACCAATTTTACCTTTTCGATTAACTGCATCTTACAGGAACATAAGTGATTCATGGGAAATATGTACCATTGATCCACTCCACACTTGCATCACCACCGTTCTGACGAAGGATCATCGGAAACTTAGTTCTCAACTAATATGTCTAGAAATCTTGCCTCTTATTAGCAAGGATCCATCATTAAAGGTGAGTACAATTATTTCTCATATTTCTACAAGATTCAATTATACTCCCTCTTACAGGAAGGCATGGATCGGGAGGACTAAGGCATTTAAACTTGTGTAGGGTAATTGGGAGGAATCGTACAAAGAACTTCCATGATTTTTGGTGGCACTCAAATATTATGCTCCGGGAACTGTTATAATTTTAGAGACACTCCCGACATTTACCTCAGACAGAACTCGTGTCAGTGAAAATGGAATATTTCATCGATTGTTCTGGGTGTATGAATCATGCATCAATGGTTTTGCATTTTGCAAACCTATTATACAGATTGATGGAACTTGGTTATACGGAAAGTATAAAGGAACATTACTCATGGCAGTGACACAAGATGGCAACAATAATTTTTTTCCGTTTGCCTTCGCTCTAGTTGAAGGTGAGACAAGTGGTGCGTGAAATTTCTTTCTGAAGAATCTCCGATTACACGTTGCTCCTCAATCCAACCTTTATTTGATTTCAGATAGACATCCATCGATTGTGAGTGCATACAATGATCCTGATAATGGTTGGTCGAATCCTCCTTCAACACATGTCTATTGCATTAGACATATCACACAAAACTTCATGCTCCATATCAAAGATAAGACACTTCAAAAGAAAGTTGTTAATGCAAGGTATGCCTTAATAGAACCATCATTCTGACACTATTACGAAGAAATCCAGTTAAAAAACTCAGAAGCATTAAGGTGGGCTGATAACATTCCAGTGGAGAAGTGGACTCAGGCATTTGACAATGGTCAATGATGGGGCCACGTGACAACAAATTTGGTGGAATCATTGAACTCAGTCTTCAAAGGCATCTGAAACCCGCCAATTACTGCTTTGGTTAGAGCAACATATTTTAGGATGTGGTCATTGTTCGACAGAAGAAGTTCAAAATGGAGGGCAGTGTTACAATCAGGGAAGTTGTTCAGTGAATGCACAATGAAATCATTTAACGAGGAGGCTGCCAAAGCAAACACCCATAGTGTCACCGTGTTTGACCGTATTAAAGGTTGGTTCAGTGTACAAGAGATAATGGATCATAATGAGGGGAGGCCAAGGGGATATTATCGGTTCGAACTAGATAGAGGTTGGTGTGATTGCAGAAAGTTTCAAGCATTTCGCATGCCTTGCTCTCATGTCATAGAGACATGTTCGCATGTTCGCTTGGACCCAGTACAACATATATCTCCCGTTTACACAATAAAGAGCATTTTAAGTGTGTACATCAATACCTTCTCCGTGTTGGCAAAGGAGGATTATTGACCTGCTTATCAAGGGGACATTGTTTGGCATAATGAACAAATGCGACGATAGAAAAAGGGGCGCCCTAATAGCACTCATATTAGAACTGAAATGGATACGACCAACAAAATGATAAGATTATGCAGTACATGTCGTCTTCCCAGACACAATCGAAAAAATTGTCCGAATATTGGGTCTAGCTCTGCAACCTAATTTTTTTATAGCAAACTTTCCGGAGTAATTAATTTGTTGTACCCAAGAAATTTCAATTTAAATTTGGATTTTCATTTCATGTTCAATTTATCATTCGATTACAACAACCTTCACATAATGATCCAAAAAATTATAACACCACAAACTCAGGACAACACACAACAACATGATAAACAGAAAAAACAACTAAACACATCATAATATTTAAAAGATAAAAATCATCAACATAATATCGTCTGGTCCAAACATCATCATCATCATCACATCAACTTCGCATCTCACATTTTTCCAAGATCGGCTTACTCTATTTTTTCTCATGTATTCACCTTCAGAAATGTCTCCTTCCAACCAGCGAATCAAATACCTCTGAAAATGCTCGAAGTGTTCTAAAGTTTAATCTTCATTGGAGCTTTGTTGCTGAAAAAATACTAGATGTAAATAAAAAATGTGGTGAATTGAAAACATGAAACGCAGGTTCATCAAGCGGAAGAGCTTTTGTTCAAGCCGTGAAAAATGAAAACAGTAACAGAATCGAAAACATGAAACGCAGCATGTTCACAAGTGAAAACGCAGCATCTTCATCGGTCTTGTTTGATTTTTACGGTAAGCTTCGACACAACTTCGAGTTATGCTAATAATTGGTTCTGAGTTGTTTTGGTATGAATTTTTGTTCGACTTAAATACACAACAAGCACACAACACTATAATAATAAATTGGATAAGAACTTATCAATTGATTTGAAAAAAAAGTGAGAATTTGATATTGCTTGCAAGGTGTTCGATAGAATGCCTCAGCTTCTTTTTTCTTCTTTGCTTATGCTTCTTGCTTCTACTTCTTGTTTGTTGTTGTTTCACTTGTTGACTTCTTGAATTACCATGATTGTTGATGCTTAAATTCTTTTGGGTGATGATGGTAATGAATTCTTGAAGATTGTGAATTGTTGATGATGCTTGAAGCTTGATGGAAGTGAGTGAAGGAATGATTATGGAAGATCTTTGATATAAGATTGTTCTCACTATGAATCATTCAGCTGAACTTGGGGTATAGAGTTTCTTAACTCTAAGAACCCGTCCTTATCAGGTTTTTCCGTTGTACATGTGAGGATAGTTCTGCAAAAACTGGTCATTTTGGTTTTTGAAAAAATGCTACGGTAAAAGTAACTGAGTTAAGCGTTAAAATGATTGGAGGTTCACCCAAAACTTTAAACTAGAATTGATGTTGACCCTAAATAACACATGAAAACCCCGAAAAATTCAATCCAAAATCACCTCCAATAGGGATGACGCATTAATGAGTGCCACCAGTCACTGAATTAAAGGGTACACAAGGATGGAGATGCGGGAGGCCTCAGCCGCAGCACGGAGGGAGAGAAAAGGGAGACGCCAGCCTCGACGTGGTGGTGCAGTGAGCTACTGAGTGTGAAAAAGAGAGATGAGGCACATTGGGATAGAGATATATAGAGAGACAATGAGAAAGATGATCTTGTAATTAAGTAACACCTATCGTGGTTCTTGCATCAAGGAATATTATAATCATGTTCTTATCTTCTCAAGTCTCCTAACATTAATTTTTCCATTGCAAATATAACTATCGTATTGCTGATCTTTTGTAGCTGCAAAAAAATGTTTGAGAAAGGATTACTTGCCATGTTGTAGGGGTTATAGGGCGTTACTTTTTTGGTATTCTATTTGGTCCTCGTGTTTTATAAACCATTACTTGATTCTTCCAGATAAGGAGAATTTGTGCTTATACGGCTTTCCTAGTGAGCAGTGGGAAGTTAATTTACCTACTGAAGAAGTTCCATTGGAGCTTCTCGAGCCAGTGATCGGAATTAACTTTGCTAGGGATGGCAAGCAAGAAAAAGATGGGCTGTCTTTAGTTGCTGTTCATAGTGATTAATGGTTACTTGCTATTGCCTACTATTTCAGAGCCAGATTCGGGTTTGACAAATCTGACAGGTATTTCATTTTTTAACCATAAATCTTATCTGCATCTTAGTTGTCTTATATGTCGTTTTCATTATATATATATATATATATATATATATATATATATATATATATATATATATATATAGTCGTTGTTCATTCATTGATTCAGGAAACGCCTTTTCAATATGATGAATGATCTGCCATCGATATTTGAAGTTGTTACTGGTACAACAAAGAAACAAGTTAAGGAGAAGTGTTCAGTTTCAAACCACAGTGGAAGCAAATCCAAGTCCAGCTCAAAAGTGGTAAATAATATTTTTCTACTCTAACCTATGCATGATAGATACATCTACTTTTTATACATACGTCTCTGATACTGTGACGGTGAAGAAATGATTGATTTTCAGATATTTGTTTTTAGATGAATGGCCTATTTAAAATTGAGTAGCTCGGACAAGAATTCAGGGAGGACAATTGAAAATGCTAGGAAATGGAATGGCCTTTTATTCCTATGTAAAAATGCGTCTTGACATTACTCTCGGGCCAACATTCAAGATCTATTAGATTCTGTTTAATGATTTATAATTGATTAACTATGATGCTCCATTGAGTCCCAAATCCACTGTAATTCCTAGAGTAAACAAAGTCATACACCAGGAAACATGAACAAATCCGTTGTTGTGAGTTTGTAATGAACCTAAAAGGCCAACGAGATGAACAAACCTAAATCTTATGGGCTGAAACCTAGGTCTACCGAGTTGAATCTAGCTCCAATGAGGAGAACCCAGTCCCTCCATATTTCATTCATTAGTAATTTTAAGCTCTATGATTTTTTTAATTTATCCATTGATTTTGAATATGTAATGCTCTTTTTCTATATTGGGTTGTGAATCTATTTTTTGTCATGTGAATTTATCCATTAATACTTGTCTGGTCTAGTTTAATCTTTAGAATTTGACAACCTTGTACAGGCAGCTCGCAATAATATTCCTATTTTAGCTGAGGCAGAATCGCCAAGGGAAGGGTTGGATGAGCTATTATGTCATGGTTAGATTGAATTGGTTTTTAGGTATGGCGCACCTCAAATTGCATCTCTAATTGTATATAAGGTGTCTAACTGTCCATATGCTTCTGTTTATGATTAGTTTTTGTTGGTGTTCATTTGGGATTTGGTTTGTGTTGTGTTAGGATTGGACACAGGCACCATGTATCCCGAGTGCATTGGTTTCCATGCTTATAAGATGGCCAAATACCAAGTTTGTGAATATGACTCTGGGTGAAGATGGTTGTCTACTGTTGGAAAGAAGTACAAATGGTGAACACACTGGAATAAGCAAGCACATGAGTGTTATACAAGATGCCATTGGTGAAAAGGTAAGCAAATAAATAATTGTAACAAGTTTCGCCTTTCTTTTTATGACTCAACCAACCAAGTGAATTTCTTTCTTTCTCACAGTTGGGTCACTTTACCTCTAGCTGCGCAACTTTCTTAGCTGGAATTGTTATCGCCGCTATAGCCTGTTGGGAAGTAGCAGTTCCATGTTTAGTGGTTGTCCCTCTTATTCTCATAATTGGAGAAAGTTACACTAACAAAATGAACAAAATATCAACTACCAAATTGTTTTATCATTCTGAAGCCACGTCTATGATAGAACAGGTATACAACAGCGATGCATGCATAGTGCAATACTATGTTTACTATTAATTGTTGTTGTTGCTCAATACTATGTTACACATATACACAAAGCCATGTCTTCAATATCAGTAATACTTTTAGTCTAATTTATTGTCACATAGCTGATTATAACAAACTCTAATACTGATATTATGACAGACCATATCACAAATAAAAACAATATATGCTTTTGTTGGAGAGGGTTTAGCAGTCAAATCCTTCAGAGAACATGGAGAAACAATATGTCATAAGCAAGGGGGAGGCACTTGTTAAGGGAGTTGGAACAGGAATGTTTCAAATTGTGAGTGTATGTTCTTGGTCTTTGATTATATGGGTTGGAGTCGTTGTTGTCAGAGCCGGGAGAGCAAAGGGAGGAGATATAATAATTGCAGTGATGAGTATTCTTTTTGGTGCCATGTAAGGAAGCAATAAAGTTAATGCTAGTTTTGATTTCGAACCAAAAATTTCATTGTGAGTTGCAGATCTATGCAGCACCAGACCTGCAAATATTCAATCAGGCAAAGGCAAAGGTCTTCCAAGTGATCCAACGAAAGCCACTTATACATAACGAATCAAAAAGGAATATTCATACGAAGATTAGCAGTTACATTGAGCTTCAAGATGTTCACTTTTCATACCCGTCACGGCCAGAAAAATATATCCTTCAAGGACTGTCCTTGTCCATACCAGCAGGAAAGACGGTAGCTCTAGTTGGTAGCAGCGGCTGCGGAAAGAGCACTGCCATTTCCCTGGTAACTAGGTTTTATGACCCCACTAGAGGTTAGCTTAATTAGTTCATTAGAATAATAGAAGTCTAGGAACTGATTGTGTAATCTTGAATGCAAATAGCTAAGCCTGATATTGTTCAACACATTCCAGGAGAAATTTTGATGACAGTCACAATATCAAGGACCTTGATCTGCAGTTTTTCGAAGAAATTTTGTTGTTACATGAAGAATATTTTTATTCAATATTATGACTTAGTACAAAAATATAATTTTGTATATTTTTTAGTAAATATGAAAAATATTATGACTTCTTATTATATGAAATATGATTTTTATGTATTACTAAAATAGGGTGTAATGTATCATATAAAATATGGTGTAAATGGAATTAAATATAATATAATAAAACATGAGTGTAAATTAGTTAACATTTATAGTGAGCATTAATTAATTTACACTACATTTATATTAAAAAGAATGTAAATTAACATGTATTTACACTCAATTTTTATTAAATTGAGTATAAATTTATTTGATTTAAATGTATATATGTAATAATTTACACCCATTTTCTATTAAAAAAGGGTATAACTAAGAATGTATTTACACCCAATTTTTATTAAATGGGGTTAAAATTTGTTTGATTTAAATGTATATATGTAAGACTTTACATCTGATTTATATTTAAAAAGGGTATAAATTAGCATGTATTTACATCTAATTTTTTTTATCAAATGGGGTTTAAATTTGTTTGACTTAAATGTATATATGTAAAAATTTACACCCGATTTATATTTAAAAAGGGTATAAATTAGCATGTATTTACACTCAATTTTTATCAAAATAGATTAAATTTGTTTGATTTAAATGAATATATGTTTTAATTTACACCAGTTTTCTATTATAAAAAGGTGTAACTAAAAATGTATTTACACTCGATTTTTATCAAATGAAAAAATGTATTTACACCTGATTTTTATCAAATGAGATTTAAATTTGTTTGATTTTAAATGTATATATGTAAAACAATTTACACCTATTTTATTTATAAAAAAAATGTAAATTAGTATGTACTTACACCCGTTTTTAAACGAGTGTAAATTTGTTAGATATTTCTCACCTGATGACTATACACCCTCCAAAAACGGGTGTAAATTATATAAAAAACAAGTGTAAATATATATTTTTGTATTAGTGATTACATGACCTTTAGTATATGAAAATGAGATTTCATAAATACATGGATCCATAAGATAAAAGTCTATGGGCAATGATAAATGTAATCCTAAAATGTAAAAGTATAAAGACAAGTGACTGGTATTTGTTGGCTTATATGGATCTTTCTCAACTGATACTCCTAATACCTTGAACACTCTTCAGATGGAGAGAAGAGATAAATTGTTTGTAGTACGGTATATTGGGGACCATAGCAAGTGATGGCCAATTAGGATTCCCGATATTTCGAAATGAACCATCTTGACATCTACTCATATTTGAGTTCATATTCAATTAATTAATTAATTACTAAATATAAATCTAATTTGTCTTTTAAACTTTATTTGACCACTTAATCAATTAAGGCTCTTAATTTGATAAATAGCTAATATAGTTTATATAAATATATTTGTCCACACACTAACTATTGGAATATAATAATTAAATAGTATTTAACTATAAAATATTCCAACAATCTCCCACTTGGACAATATATCTTAATAATTATATCATAGTCTTTAGACGCGCATCTGAATGCTATTTATCCTTAGATTTCAACTTTACAATCTGGTACATCTCATACATTAATAATGAAATCTTCGCAGCTGTCGTCACTGACGAATAACGTGACAAAACCTCAAAGACCACCACATCAATGTACTTGATGACATAGATCGATATGGATGAGTGACATGAAAATTTCATATAATGTGGTTTATGAATCATGTTTATGTCCAACTGGTCCAATTGAAGTCTTTATTGAGATCAAACTAAAGTTTATAAATTCAACATTTGCACAAACGATACAGAAAGAGTTATCTCAATAATAACCCCATACATTTTATTTCTGCAGATAATCTTAACATAAAGTTCGTAGTTATAAAATAACGTCGAACGTGTAGGATAGTAATTACTTTTGATTGTTTATTTAAGAAAGTTTTTTCATTCATGTCAAAGATCACATTTTGTATCATTGTAATAAAGAACTCAAATATCCGCATCAAGAGAGAAATGAGTCACTTCTGAGAAGTGTATGAGTGCTTCCACTTTTAAATTCAAAGCAGTTTATTTCAAGTTCTGCCGTGTTTACTATTTTTACCTTGCAATTTATTTGTCTTTGTCTTTGTTTTTACCTTTTTTCTGTTTCAGTTCATACCTTATCCATTTCAAATACCAAAATACTATCAAACTGAACACTAAGTCTTGGACTCTTGTAGTTGGTCCTGCAAGTAACCTTTAAGTAAGATGCTAGATATTATTCACGAGAAACACCCACGAACAATATCCAACATCACACTCTACAGTGTCAACTCACAGACCAAGCTCAAGTCTCTGAACTGCTCAATCAATTCCAACTCCCTAACCATCATAGTAGACATATGCAAAGACTTCCGACTTAAAGCATCAACCACGAAATTAGCTTTACTGGAATGATAATTCAAGTCAAAGTCATAATCCCTCAAGAATTTGAACCACTTATGTTGTCTCATGTTCAATTCCTTCTGATCAAATAGATACTTCAAACTATTATGATCACTAAACACTTCAAATCTAGAACCATAAAGATCATGCTTCCAAATCTTCAACACAAACACCACTGCAGCCAACTCTAAATCATGAATATGATAGTTTCTCTCATGAACTCTCAGTTGTCTTAAAGCATAACCCACAACCTTGCCATCATGCATTAACACACCAACTAAACACATCAAAGACGCATCACAATACACCATAAATAGTTCATTTGGTTAAGGTAAAATCAAAACTAGAGTCATAGTCAATCTCTTCTTCAGCTCAATGAAACTTTTCTCACAAAGAATTTCCCACACAAATGCTTTACCTTTACAAGTTAATTGAGTCAACAAAACTGCTAACTTGGAAAAGCCTTCAATAAACATGCAATAATAACCAGCCAAGCTCAAAAAGTTTCTAATCTCCATAATCGACTTTGGAGCATCCCTTTGTAGTACTGGATCTACTTTGAACGAATCCACAACTATACCACCACCTAAAATAACATGACCAAGAAAACTAACTTCTTGCAATCAGAATTCACACTTCGACAATTTAGCATAAAGCTTATTCTCCTTTAACACATGCAACACAATTCGCAAATGCTCAGCATGTTCTTTCTGATTTTGAATCAAAATGTCATGAATAAAAACCACTACAAATTGATCTAGGTAAGTATGAAATATACGATTCATATATTCTATAAACACTTCCGACGCATTAGAAACACCAAACAAAATTGCCAAGTATTCATAATGTCCATACCGAGTCCTAAAAGTCGTCTTCTAAACATTCTAATCCTTAACTCAAATCTGATGGTAGACGAACCTCAAGTCAATTTTGTTAAACACACACGAACCCACCCGCTGATCCATCAAGTTACCTATTCTCAGAAGTTGATACTTTTTCTTAATCGTTACTTTATTCAACTGTCCGTAATCCACACACAACCTCATACTACCATCCTTCTTCTTTACCAATAACACTGGAGCTCCCCAAGGCGACTCACTTGGTCTCACAAATTTCTTTTCTAGTCATTCTTTCAATTGCTTTTTCAACTCGGCTAACTCCTACACCTTCATCTTGTATGGCGCCATAGAAATAGGTCTGGTACAAGGGACATGATCAATAAAAAACTTCACTTCTCTCTCTCTGGCATTACATCTGAAATATCATCTGGAAATTCATGCACCACCTGCAATTCATCAATTACTGCCTGAATCTTCACAGATAAGGACGCAAACAACACAAGTACCAACTTCCTCTTCCAAAAGCTCTTTCAACTCTCTAGCAGACAAGAAATCAGCTTCTTCATTTTCATTTGGAGCAAGAAACTACACTGACTTGTTATAAAAATTTATGTGAACATGATTGAACTCCAACTAGTTCATTCCAAAGATAACATCAAGACCCCTCAGCGGCAAGAATATAAGATAAACACATAAATATCTATCAAAGATCGATAGAGGATAATTTAAACAAACCAAGTAAGTAGCCACTAATCCCTTAGCAGGAGTATTGATAACCATCTTAGCTTTATCGCCGATTTCCAAAGTAGCAAACATCATAAACATCAGTGCCTCATCCTTCAAGAGTTCTCCTACTTTCTTAGCAGATAAAAACATCGGCTCTTTGCTGTCACCAAACTTAAATATACACTCTAGAGGAAAGTCGCATACATCTTCAGGACAAACATTAGGAATTACACGCCATTGTCATATATCTAGCCATCACATTTCTCTATATTCTCCAAGAATCAAACATCAACAATACCTGATTGTTCTCCCTCAAAGACATCTCAACTTGACCGGCGACCAAGAATCATGAATTCATACTCTCTTCGGGTTCCAGAAACAACACTACCTTAATAACACCTGCACTATTGCAGTCAGTGGTACATTGTACCAACTCCTCATACTTGAAACATCTCAGAGAAGCACAAACTTCTCCCCACTTGTTTCAATCCCACTCCTGCTGAAAAGTGGTTAGAAAAACAAACGAGCACCCACAGTGTTTCACACACATATCGTGTACTAAGGAATAAACACCATTGGATAACCTGGCCAGACGGACCTGTAGTGGTGAAAAGTTGGGATTAAGCTACTGATTAACTTAAATCACAAAGTGAAAGTCACCACCACACTTTATTGTTTCCAAAGGAATGGGAAAAGAGAGAATAAAACCCACAAAAGTTTTTAAACCAAAACTAATATAACTAAGATCTAGGTACGAGGGTTGGTTATGCAAAGAGAAGGTGTTAACACGCTAAACATCTATGATACTCTGCAGGAACCTCTTCAAAAATTTGTGTATTTGGCTAAAAGAGTGTTGTAAAAAGTTTGTGGAGATGGGAAAAGAAATGGTTTTTACAATTTTTGATCGGACAAGACTTCAATGAGACTTGTGCCTACATATCTCCAATGTGTAATGATGAAATCAGAACCAGGTAGTTCTTCCAAAAAAGAACAAATGTGTTTGTTGGTTCATTTTAAATCAAGAGACTTTTGTTTTCTTAAGGAGAATACTCAACTAATATACCATGAACATGGTAAAGGTGGATCTTTGCATAAAAAATGAATGGAGGACTCCAACTTGGATAACTCAACAAGTATGCCACAAACCCTTCAAAGTGGAAAAGATTCAACACCAACATCAACCAATATCATGGAGATAGGAGGATTAGAACTCAAATTCAAAGACGACTAGTGTCAAATCTTAAGAAAAAGGTTTAAATCAAAAATCCAAATTGAAAACAATTTGAATTAGTTTTTGTATTTTTTAGTCTTTGAAGAAAAAGGTTAAACTTTGTTAAGTGAATTAAGGTTTGATTAAGGAAAGGGTTTTGAAAATGCACTTGACAAAGTCAAGGTTTTTATTGAAATTGCTTTAAGTTTAAAAACAAAGAAGGTATTGAAAAGGAGGGAGTAGATTTGAAAATTAAAGAAGATGGGCAAGAGATGAAGGGACTTTCCTAAAACATAAAGTAAAAGCTAAAGTAGGAAAGGTCTAACCAAACAAGAGCAGTCATCCTGACACAAGACAAATAATGCATCACATTCTTTGGATTAAAGTCACACAATGAAGTAATAAGCATTAGATGAATAATAGTGCCTCACGTGCAAGCTTAGCATTAAATGAACTAGATGTCTCAGATGAATTATTCTCGCATTAGATGATTTTCAAAGTAACACATGCACACAGAAAAGTTCCCAATACACTGACAAAATAACAAGAGGATCTCAAGGTCAAAAGGTCTCAATGTCTCAAAGTCCTATCCTAAGTCCAAAAGGTTCAAATACTCCAAGATGTAAAGGGATTGTCACCATAGTCCAAAGAGAGCCTTAAGTTTTCTAATGTTCAAGTTAATTATTAATGTCTTTAAAAGAAAAATAAAGCTTAAGTGAGAAAAAGAAGAATGACATAAAAAATAAAATGCTCAAGTGAGTAAAAGGAAAATGACATAAAGTAAAGAGCAAAAAGATAAATGACAAGAATGATAAAGATGCTAAAATAAAGAGCAATAAAGTAAAGGCATAAAGTAAATGAAAAAACTTAAATTGCATTAAAATAAAAGTTAGTACAATAAATGTTAGAGTTAGTATGTTATTTTTCCGATTCGGAAAAAATTTAGCGATATGTTAAGCAATCACCGACGGACTTAAGTAGAAGTCAATACTATACAAGGATGACCAATAAAAATGTATGTACCATACATGTTAGAGGTATGATAGAAACCATACACATAAAACATGTAGCACAAGTAAAACAAAGGTGGATCAAGACATAGGTAAAGGAGATGAGATCATTACATCAAATAAATCCTTCATGATACCTTAGGACAAACTTATCATCAATCCAAAGTATCGTGAGTTATCAATTGAGCACTTAGAGGTAGATTTGAAATGATGAAAGTTCATCAAGTACCATTCCAAATTCAATTGAACAAAGATGAATCAATCATCATCCAATTGATCCTAAAGAAAAACAAAAGAAGAAAGAGATAGAGCAGAGATAAAGTGAACAAGAAAAAATATAAATACAAATTGGATCAAGGTCTTGATCAGGTTATTCTCAACATCATTCATCCATTTTGGTGGATTAATATTTTCACCC